CGACTTCACCACCCTCATGGACCACCTCTGGTCTGGCTTCCAGGCATCCACCACCTCCCTGACCCGGCTGCTGCTACTACGCGACCTGCTGTGCTGCCAATTTATGTGGCACACCAGCTACCGCGGCCACGACACCGGCAAACTGCGGCTACGTGACTTCCGTGACCCGCGGGGTGGGGGTCCTTTCCGTGGGTTTCCCCTACCTCTGCCGGACCCGTTTGGTGCCTACCCCTCGCTTTCCTTACGGATCGAACAACTCGGGACCAAAACCTCCAAGGGGCGTCGAGCCCCCCCTTTGGAACTGCGCCCTGACCCTTCTCCACGACATTGCTTCATCCGCACCCTCGCCCTCTATTGGCAGCTGTGCCATGCCCCCGACGCCCCCCCAGGGTCTGCAATCTCCGACTACCTCTTCCGTCCCACTGACCGGGGTCACCAACGCTTCGTTGAGCGTCCGTTTTCCAGCAGCACGTTAGCCATGCGCGTGGGCAAACACCTGGAGGAGGCTGGTGTCTACGTCGGGCAAACCCCTCATGGGTTTCGTCGTGGTACTATCCAGGCCACGCAGGCCGCTGGCGCTTCCCGCGCGGAGCTCCACGCATTCTCCCAAATTCGCAGCGCTCAAGTCCTGGAGCGTTATACCGACGCCTCTCGGCCCACTCGAGTCCCTCGCGGCTCCGGTCCCAGATCCTAGCTTCCGCCTCCTGCTGGTGCTGCCCCTCTTGGCCCTGGCGCTCACATCGTGGCTCGTCTTCCTCCCCTCTCCCCACACATCGACGGGCGGGTGGGTGGGTTCTGACTTGCGCTTGCTTGCACGGTTGCCTGGCGAACTAGCGTTGTCTGGATTCAGCGCTTTGTTCCCAGCTAATCTTTGTAACGCACTACCGTATCAGTCACTGTCCCCTGGCCAATTCCGGTCTGCTCCTCCCGCGCCGCACTTGCCGTACTACACTACAGGACGAGCACTTAATCAACATGCATTGCTTAAACGTCATCGCGTGATCCGTACTCACTACTAACTTATTGTGGGGAAGGCCATTGCGTCTGC